ATTCGAGATGTAGCAGCTTAAATCTTAACTGTTTTTTTGCAGGATTTTACTGGTGTACCAGCTGTTGTGGACCTTGCTTGCATGCGTGATGCCATGAACAAGCTTGGCAGCGATTCTGACAAGATTAATCCATTGGTATTCATTTCTTTTAAGTTTAGCTGATGTTGGTAAAATCTCTTAAACAGTGGTTAGTCACCTTCAATGGTCTGATGTACGAAACAACGTAAGGTGGTTCGTTTCCTTAACTAAATTTTNTTACTTCTAGATTAATGCAATTTTTTTTGATGACTAGAGTAATGTATTCCTTATTTGAGAATTATGGTTAATTCATTCGATGTATCATTCTCGAGGATTGGTAGTTTCTTTTTCTTCCTTTTTCTTTCTTTAGTTTTTCAAATTAACGACTTTTTATATTTTGCATTGTTGAAGTGCTTGATTTCACATTCTTGTGTCCTCTCAGTAAATCTATGTTTTCTTATTTTTGACTTTTTCTTGGTTACATCATTGTACAGACAAGCTGCCATATTCTATTAGAATTCTTCTTGAATCAGCAATTCGTAATTGTGACAACTTTCAAGTGAAAAAGGAGGATGTTGAGAAGATTATTGACTGGGAAAATACTGCGCCGAAGCTAGTGGAGATACCGTTTAAGCCAGCCCGAGTCTTGCTGCAAGTACTGGCCTTTGGCCTGTTTCTGAATAAAAAAGAAAAAATGCAATTCGAGATGTAGCAGCTTAAATCTTAACTGTTTTTTTGCAGGATTTTACTGGTGTACCAGCTGTTGTGGACCTTGCTTGCATGCGTGATGCCATGAACAAGCTTGGCAGCGATTCTGACAAGATTAATCCATTGGTATTCATTTCTTTTAAGTTTAGCTGATGTTGGTAAAATCTCTTAAACAGTGGTTAGTCACCTTCAATGGTTGATGTCGAAACAACTAAGGTGGTGTTTCCTTCAAAATTTTGAAGAGGAGTTCAACCCAAATCTTATTCAATTTTTTGAAGAACTGTCTTTCTTGCTGTTAGTTTGAAAAATTGTTTTTGCAAAAAATTGATTTTTTTTTTCCCAAAACAGGTTTTTCAATATTTTTGAAGCAAACGGCACCTACATAATGCAGCCGTGGCTTTTATAATTTGGATTATAATTATTGAAATGTTTTTTTCTTACGCTTATGAATCAAGGACTTAGTCCAATCACTAATTATTATAAGTTTGAGGTCAATGGTTCCTACTAATAAGAAAATTCAGGTCGCTGTGGGTTGTGACAGTTCTTCTATTGGGTTTCTGTATCTTGAAGATTCATCGTCAGTTCTTCTATTGGTCTTTGAATAATTTCCATTTCATGGTAATATCTTATCCTTTTTTTATTGGGCATATTTTCAGGTGCCGGTAGATCTGGTAATTGATCATTCAGTTCAAGTTGATGTGGCAAGGTCAGAAAATGCTGTCCAGGCTAATATGGAACTGGAATTCCAAAGGAACAAGGAGAGATTCGCCTTTCTCAAGTGGGGTTCTAATGCTTTTCGCAACATGCTTGTTGTTCCACCAGGTTCTGGTATTGTTCATCAGGTATTGTATCTGAAAACTGAAAGGGGCCAGTTGTACTGCTGTGCATATTTAATGTCACATCTGTGCTAGCCTGTATCTCTTTTCAAGCTTCATTTCTTATATTGTGTCCATTTGTTGTCCTTCATCTGTGGAGGCAATGCATTGACAGTGACACACTTGGATTTACAACCTTATTTATCTCTCTGAAACATGAAAGAAGATATTCCGGAACTGATAATAGTTTTTGGTGCCATAATTTTGTTAGGTGAATCTTGAATACCTCGGGAGAGTCGTCTTTAACATGGAAGGCTTGCTCTATCCTGATAGTGTTGTCGGAACAGATTCCCACACCACTATGATCGATGGGCTTGGAGTTGCTGGCTGGGGTGTTGGAGGTATTGAAGCAGAAGCTACAATGCTTGGTCAGGTATGTAACCATGAATGCCATAAGGAAAGTTTGTGTATTATGCTGAAATTTGGAATATTCTTCTGTGCTTCAGTTAGTGACGTATTTGGAAGTTAGGCTTTCCTTTTTGCTTATCAACTGACCTCATATTATTTCTTTCAATGAACAATTTTTCGTTGTCCTCCTTGACCCAAATCTAACTCCTTTTATTTTGGTCTGTTCTGAAAATTGTGCTCCCTTTTTTATTTTCTTTTTTTGATACCCGTGGTGTCTGTGCCAGCTTGCCCGCACCTCGACCAGTTCCATGGGGCACTTGCTACCTTCTACCAGTATAGGTATCGGGTAGCTCTGTCCACAAAGTATATATGTAAATAAATATATACGTACCATTTGTCTTGACGTGATAAGTTTACACATTCATCTTTCTTTACAAAGGTGGAATGTGAGTTCACTTAGAATTTTACATGAACATAGTCAGCTCTATTCCTAAAGTTTTCATCAAGCTGGAATGGAGGCTGATGCGTTCTTGTGTTCGTTTATCTCTTTCGAATAACATGTGATGTGTGCCCTTTGACTCGAAGAGAAGACAGACACCCCGTTCTTGTGGCTCTGTCGTGCTTGCTTGTTCTTTAGCTTTCTTTTCTTCTTTTAAATACAATATCAGGATGCCCAATTGTGTCTAATTCACACCAATTGTACTAAACATATGATATTTATGCTGATGAAGTTTTCACTTTCAATGGTCTTTTTTCCCTAATGCTACTGTCGTGATACTTACAGCCAATGAGCATGGTGTTGCCTGGAGTTGTTGGGTTCAAGTTATCTGGAAAATTGCGCAGTGGTGTAACTGCCACTGACTTGGTGTTGACAGTCACTCAAATGCTTAGGAAGCATGGTGTTGTTGGGAAGTTTGTTGAATTCTATGGTAAATATGGGAAACCGGACAAATTACTTACTAATAATTCCAAGATGGCGAATAGGTTATCTAAAGACTTGACTGTGTTTTATTTTTCTTTAGGTGATGGAATGAGTGAACTATCATTGGCTGACAGAGCCACCATTGCAAACATGTCTCCTGAATATGGTGCTACAATGGGTTTCTTTCCTGTAGATCATGTTACATTGCAGTATCTGAAACTAACAGGGAGAAGTGACGAAACAGTAAGTGTTTAGATACTTGCAAGCGTTACACCTGAAGATGAGATGTAAATTGTTTTGATATTTTCTAACCCCTAAAATTTTAGGTGGAAATGATCGAAGCATATCTGCGTGCGAATAATATGTTTGTCGACTATAATGAGGTTGGTCTTCTTTGCTACCCTCAGCTGCGAGTGTCTTTTATTAAGCACAAAAATCTCTCTTTAGGGGATAAATAAAAGAATTTGGCTAGATATAATTATCCTTCTTTTTCCACTAGGCAGAAAGAAGATAACACAAGATATAAGTTGTCTTTTTTTCTTTACAAATTTCTAAAGAACTTGTCACGTTCCTGATTTCAGCCTCAACATGAGAAAGTGTACTCTGCTTCGTTGCACCTAGACCTTGCTGACGTTGAGCCATGTGTCTCAGGGCCAAAAAGGTATATTTTTTGCCTTTGGTAAACAACTTATTAAATGTGAGAAACATTGTTGCAACCATGTGATATATATTTCCTTTTCCTTGATAGACCTCATGACCGCGTGCCTTTGAAAGAAATGAAGTCTGACTGGCACTCTTGCCTTGATAATAAGGTTGGATTCAAGGTGAGCAACTACTCTGTTCTACTTTAACCATTGACTCTCCTCATGATATGTGATTTTGCAACTCAAACTAATATAAGACTACTGAATTACAAGGTCAACCTTTGAGTATTGGAAATGTTAATTTGGCTGGCTCTATTCACTGTAGGGATTTGCTGTGCCAAAAGATGCACAGGAAAAAGTAGTAAAGTTTTCTTTCCATGGACAAGATGCAGAGCTCAAGCATGGAAGTGTTGTGATTGCAGCTATTACAAGTTGCACTAATACATCAAATCCCAGTGTTATGCTAGGAGCAGCCCTTGTTGCAAAAAAGGCTTGCGATCTGGGTCTACATGTCAGTTTTGGTCCTATATACTTGTTTTTCTTCAATGGTTTCTTCATATTTTGTTAATGTCATTCCTTGTTGATATCCAGATTAAGCCATGGGTTAAAACAAGTCTTGCTCCTGGCTCCGGCGTAGTTACAAAATATTTACTCCAGAGGTATTCTTTGTAATTTCTCAGATGAAGTTTCTACTTATCCATCCATTTGTGCTGACTATATATGTGAAAATGTGGTATTTGTTGTGAAACAGTGGGCTGCAGAAGTATTTGAATCAGCAAGGTTTCCATATTGTTGGATATGGCTGCACAACTTGTATTGGGAATTCGGGGGATTTGGATGAATCAGTTGCTTCTGCTATATCAGAAAATGGTAAACTCCTTATGATTGCTTCTATTTAGCAGTGGCATTGTCTAGTCTGTCTTCCAGGTGATTATTTGACTTATTGTTGTATATGTAGACATTGTTGCTGCTGCTGTACTCTCTGGAAATCGAAACTTTGAGGGGCGTGTTCATCCCTTGACGAGAGCAAACTACCTTGCTTCACCTCCTTTGGTGGTTGCCTATGCACTCGCTGGCACTGTAAGTAAATGCACAAAATTTTATTGTTTATCCTGGGGTTTGCTTCTGGCATATATTATATACTACTTTATAGATGTAAAAAGGTAGTGAAGACATACTTCTAATGAACATATAAGATAAAAATCCTGATATTGGAAATGTCGACCCAGATAGTCAAATTAGACAAGCTGAGTTTGGAATGTCAGTTTATATTAGTTACAATAATACATGCTGAGTTTTTATCAAGCTAGCCTTGTTTGAGAAAATCTGTCAAAGTGATGGAAATATAAGATAAATGAGGTATTGTTGGAAAATCGTGTTAAGTGCAACTACTTAAGGAACCAGGTTGGTGCCAAATAGGAATTGTGAAAGCCTGAAGGTGAACAATTTTGGTATTTACACATTAGAGCCCTCTTTTGGCATGTTTTATTAAATGATCCACCTCAGCCACTGTCCCTGTCATGAGCATCTCACATAAGTTGGACCATTAATCACAATGGCTAAATGTTTCGTCCTGACATGCAGAGATCAGGTTTGTAGTGTATGATGTGCATCATATGATGTCATCATATACAGCCCATGCTGTTGGACACTAACTGAAAATTATAAATGTTTGTAGGTTGATATTGACTTTGAGAAAGAGCCAATTGGAGTGGGAAATGATGGTAAGAATGTCTACTTCAAGGATATTTGGCCATCAACTGAAGAAATTGCTGAGGTATGCATGTAGTTTACTTATATGTCCTTGTATACCTACAATTGATGAAGAAAATAGTAAACTGAGCATGTGATCTTTCCTTGTTAGGTTGTTCAATCAAGCGTATTGCCAGACATGTTCAAGAGTACCTATGAAGCTATTACAAAGGGGAATAATATGTGGAATCAATTATCAGTACCAGCTGCTAAGCTCTACTCATGGGAGCCTAGTTCTACATACATTCACGAGCCACCATATTTCAAGGATATGACAATGGATCCTCCCGGGCCTCACGGTGTGAAGGATGCTTATTGCTTGCTGAACTTTGGTGATAGTATTACCACAGATCACATTTCACCAGCTGGAAGCATCCACAAAGATAGTCCTGCCGCTAAGTCCTTATTGAGCGGGGGGTTGATCGCAGGGACTTCAACTCATATGGTAGCCGTCGTGGTAATGATGAAATATGGCTAGGGTACTTCGCAACATCCGCATGTAAACAGCTGTAATGGGAATTGGCCAAAGCAATCACATTCCACAGGAGAGAAACTCTCTGTGTTGATGCT